TGATTATCAAAAAGATTAGGATTACCATTTAGCAGACCCCACAACACATTGTGTGTGTACTAAGTACAAGTTTCTGAAGAAAGAACAGATGATTAGCTTTAGATTTTGATTTATTGTCACAACAGTGTCGCAGCAGAAAAGCCTTCACTCAATTGTCACCATGATTCCACGGCCATCAGAATCCCTACGATGCAGAATCCCTACGATGCCACAGCCATCCATGGCTCATACATGCAGAAGAGGGTAGATAGCACTTTCTTCTGAGTGTGTTATGCTGCCCTGTGAAGCTGCATGAACAGAAGTTTGAAAAGATGCAGAAGTTAGCTTCACATGCCCCAGAGGAAGCAACACAACAACAACAACAACAACAACAAAGCAGGCAGTTAAATAAAAGTAATGCAAAAATATATGTTGTCTACTTAATATATAAAATAAATAGATAAATAGTAGAATTTAACTGTACAAGTATGATATACAAACTCTGGTATCCATCCATTTTCCATACTGCTTATCCTACACAGAGTATTAGGGAGCCTGGAGCCTGTCCCAGAGACTTGGGGCACACCCTGGAGGGGGTGCCAACCCACTGTAGGGCAAAATCGCACATGCATTCAGACACTACAGACAATTTGGAAATGCCAATCAGCCTATAATGCATGTCTTTGTATTGGGGATGAAACTGGAGTACCTGGAGGAAACCCCCAAAGCACGGGGAGAACATGCAAACTCTTCACACACAGGGCAGAGGCGCAACTCGAACCCCATCCCCAGAGGTGTGAGGTAAACTGGATAACTGCTACGCCACCATGTACCCCCAAACTCTGATATGTAGTAATGAATAGTTATATATGCAAATAACAATAATTTAAATAGTAGTATATGGGAACAGTTGGGTGATAAGTAAAGTGCAGAGTGCAGTAGTTTAGTGCCATCTGTACAGTACAGTACAAAAATAATGTGCAATGAGCAGTTAATGGCCGACTAGTGCAGATTGCAGTTATACAGCAGTCTCATGGCCTGTGGGGAGAAAATGTTGTCCCAGCACTGCAGTATCATATACCGGAAGGCAGTAGTGTTAAAAAAAATTTGCAGACAGTACTAACAACAAAATATGTTGCTGGTGTCTCCTGGCCATTGTTTACCTAAAAACCATTCCTAATAAACTCCCTATTGTGTAGATGGTAATGCGAAAAAAAAAGGCCCTACAACAAACGAAAATAAAATTAGGTATGAATAATTGCACATTTCAGTGCTGCTTCAGAATAGCCTACACTGGTGCCAAACATCACATACACACATTTAGGCTTTTTAAAAATCTTTTTTTTTTTTTTTTTTTTAACTTTTGTTGGGACTCTAAAAAAAAATCCCTTAAAATTGAAATATTAATAGAACTACATCTTCAATGTAGGACACTTTTTAAAATTTTTTATTTATTTATTTTAATTATTATTATTAATATCATTTGAGACGTTTCATTTAATTTTATTCATGCAATTTTCACCTGAGTCTTTCTTCTGACCCATGGATATCACTGATAGAAACAGAAATAAAATAAATCATCTTCTTTTTAATTTTAAACCATGATATCATAAACTGTTATAACAAATAAAGAACAGAAACAGAATAAACATTCAGATTTTTTTGAGGTTCAGTGTTTCACAGTTTTAAGTCTTTTTTTAATCTTTGACAAAAATAGTTAGAACACTTAGTTGTGTACACTTTGGTGTAAAAATGGTATTGTGTTACAAATTGATAAATCTATGTATACGAACTTTAGCCTAAAATATTAGAGGATTTATAACAGAGCCTTATAATACTACAAAAAAGGTAGAGCTAAATGGTACAGAGTAAAAGCAGAGTCGCTGTGAACAAAATAAACAAGACAAAAAAACAGACGATTAGCATAAAGTACGAGTTTTCAAAGTTCTCACTAAAGGACTCCAGCTCATCACTGTGAGGACTCGCCACATGCACAGACCTGATTGGTTACGCCTATTGGTCTCCACCAATCACTGAGCTTCAAATCGCATCGTCATCAGCTGCAGCGGGATCGATGCTTTTAAACAAAGAACCGCGGAAATTCTACAGCGGTCTCAGTGGACACGTCAAAGGCGCCGCCATCTTGAAGAGGGCAAGTTTTCTCTCTAAGCTCATTGATTTAAAGTGAAATTAGGGGTCAGTTTAAAAATTCTGCAAAAAATATCGACAGACTGTGCAGGAATTTAATTCACAGACACATCAAAGCAAGACAGAAAAACTGTTTTATTTTCTGTTTTTTAACTTCTATTGAATTTTACAATTATTTACATTACTATTTATCTTCTCTTTAACTCAACACCAGATCTTAGGTAATTTAGGTAAATTTTGTACATAATCAGAAGAATGTTTTTGTCATTTTTTATGTTCCTGGGGACCCTGGAGCTGTGAGACAGTAACATTCTCTGCTGCACCACCAGACTGCCAACACTGATGTTATGCAAATTTAAAACAATGTCTTGGGACCTGTATTATTACTATTAGGCTATTATTATAGTTACTTTTAATAAGTGTGTGTCAATAGCAGTAAAACACTTACTGAAAACTGGCTTTGGATTATGATAATTTCTGTCCAGCCTACATTAACCTATATCCCATTACCTTGCTGTAGAGGCGGACTTAGCACTAGGCAAAGGTAGGCAACCGCCTGGGGCCCCCAGAAGCCAAGGATCACAGGATCACATTTTCAGTTAGTTTAGATACCATCTAAATAGTTTGTTCAAGTTCAAGTTGAGGAAGAAAGAGGGAAACAGAATTTTTTTTACTGTATTTGTATGTACTGTAGATTATGGTAGCCAGATTGTGTTTTTAATTTAACATGTTGTTAAACATTGTCATTTAGAAACTGGACACAACCGGGGGACACTGTTATGCAGCAGCAAGCATCACAACAGGGAAAGGAAGCTCAAGGATAATTGAGGTAAATATGTGCAATTGAATAGGGCCCCATTCCTATATTATCCTATATTTTTTACAACCGCATCACCTCAGATAAGCAGAAACACACGTTTTCTAAAAGCAAATACAAAACATGAAGTGAGCTGAAAGTGTACCATTCAGCTGATTTTATCAGTGAAGACCCAGAACTCTCTCTGGGCGTACAGTCAAATCCGGCCCTTTTCAATATGGCGGACTCGTTTACGTACTGCATTAGCGAATGGTGCATTCAAGGCATGTCGGAAAGATCGTATTTACGAGTTGAACGCACATGAACGACAGCACAAAGTCGTAATTACTAGTGGGAAACTCGGGATTTTCTTTGAGCTCAGAGTTTCCGAGATGGTGGTGGTGTGTCAGTAAGAAAACATGGTGGAATCACTGGATGCAGCGTCTGTAGCTGAGTAATTAGCTGAAAATTGAATGAGTATTTAGCAATGACATGTCTTTGTCAGGCTTTTTATTTACAATAAAACAAGCTAATCGCCTGCACAACATACAGTAGCCATTGTACATTTACGATATAATATGTAACGATAAAGTTTACAGTAGCTTCATAAATTGATTAAAAACATAAAAAAAATAAAACCCACCCAATGCGCATTCTTTATTCTTCATTTTCTAGAAGTGGAGTTAAAAACCTTGCTTTTTTTTTTCCTTTTTTTTTTTTTTGTAGTTAATTAAGAGAAGGTACACCGACATCTTGCTCCGACCAAAGTAACTTGAACGCACCTGACGTCATACCTACGACTCGTAAACACGAATTTCCCAGGAGCACTTGAACGCGCAGTGAGCCACGGCGGCTACGTCATCGACAGAATGGCGGACATTCTTTGACGCCGTTGGCCCCGCCCATCCGCGTTCCATAGACATCAGCTGTTAGCCGCAGTGCTAGCACTTCCAGCTGCTGCAGCTGACTGCCTGACCAGCAGCAGCTCTCATCTGATGCTCGCCTACAAACCCTGGCGTTAAAAAAGAAAAACAACACTCTAATGTGCTGAGAGAGCAGGAAAGAAAGGGAACCGGGTCAGAATGGATTTGTTCAGGCTGCTGAATGTCAGCGAGCTCGCTGTCGCTCTGTCCAGGCTGAACATGTTTCCGTATTTCGACGCTGCGCATTATATCGTGTCAGTGATGTCTTTACGGGAACAGCCAGGTAAGAACAAGTCCTTAATGAGCTCCACAACTCTGTGTATTCACCCAGAAAACACATCACTGAACAGTAAAAACTCACACTGAGCTCTGACTAGCCTGTAGGATTGAGTTACTCCTGTAACTTGACCCGAGTGTGAACTTTACACTCTACTTTATAACATATAACAACAGTCCATCAACTTTTATTTTTAGCTCCACCTTGCATTAATAAGATGTTATGCTGCATGCTGTGAGTTGCTTATTATTTATAATTTACACATCAATCTGCTTTGGTAAAATGAGTTTTAGAGCCTTTTCAGAGCAATCTAATGACATTTAATCTAAAAAACAAAAAAACAAAACCCTAATACATTAAACAAATAACATAGCACATACATCCACTCCTTCAGTTTAATGTATTTCTGATATCAGCAAACTTTTAGACACACAGTAGCAACAAGATCCACTGACTGTCCTTAATAAGACATAAATACAGGTATTACAACCTGCAGATAAATCATTTTGCAATCATCGAGTTAATATTTGATGATGTATGCCATGAGAATTAGTCAGCTGGTACATTGCTGTTTGACAGCAGGAAGGGTAAAATACATTGTTGGATTTATCTCCTTATGCAATGTATTTGAAGTTAAGTTATAGCAGTAAGTGTTTAAACCACCAAACCTGATATTGAACCCGACATCCTCTTGAGAAGTTTTTAATCCGTTGCTCAGCATCTATCTCATCCCGGATGTATAAGTGATATTTTGCCATTTGACAGCTTTGTATAGCATGTTTTAACTCATGTTTTATACTTCCACACATATGTTTGTTCATTCTGTAGACACTTTTTTTTTTTTATCCAGAGTGATCGGAGGTGTTTAAGTGTTTCGTTCAGGGGGGAGGATTTGAACCCACAACCTTCTGATTAGCAGCTCAGAGCTTTAACTACTGAACCACCACTTTTTCCATGCTATTACAGCCAGACCTGAACCAGTGACTGGAGGGTTTGGTTTGGACTAATGCTTTCTAGCACACTAGATTTCCAATAATGAGCCTTTTTGTGATCCACCTTCCTACTCACTATAAATTATAATCATGAAATAATTAGAAGATGGATGCAGAAATCCAATATTTTTTTTGTAAATATGCTAAAATGTATAAATTGTGACCAAATCCACCTGATTTAGCATTACAGATATGTATTTGTGCCTTTATTTGTAACACTTTAGTTAGGCAGAGCAGTTATTAAAACATTAACAATTATGAACCAATACCACAAAGTGTTAAATGCTCGCACTTCCTTTTCTTAAGACCTCCTGTGTGCCTGTCTAATCCTCTCTCTCTCATTCTCTCTCTTTCTCCCTCTCTCTGTTTCTATCTCTCTTCATAAATTATTCTGTACAATGTGTGTATAAACTAGACTCCATATCTCACTGTTTGCTCTCTCTCTCTCTCTCTCTCTCTCTCTCTCTCTGCTTACATTTACACAGGTCTTGTCTGGTGAACAAGATTATTATTCTTAAAACAAGGCCCTTTAGAACAATGGGGTCCATGAAACGTAGCTGGGGGTCCAAGTCATTTTGTTATAGTGATGGAAATGACAATCTACCATTTTCAAAAGTATTACATTTATTATAGAGTTCTAATAGTTATTAGCCTGTTATACTGGTTGCTTGAATTAATTTAATCCAAGCAACAATAACATTAAAAACAAGTCAGCTTATAAATAACATCAACTTGGACCTAATGTGTACTGTCAGCAGAAAGTTCAGGAATTCAAAGCTCTATGGCTCTAATAAATAGACAAAATATTATTTTATGTATTTAGATAATGTTCATGAAATATGTCTGTATTGCGGGGTCTGTGGAAATGACTTTACAGTTAAAGGAGTCCTTGGCTAGTTTGGAACTGCTGCTTTAGAAAACAGTTGTAGTTATCTGTGACCAAAAACGACGCCTTGTTGATTATCTGTTTGTCTGAACTGGAACACGCAGAGAGTGACTCCATGATAACAGTAGAGCCTCACTGCTGGACAGTAAAGTGCAGTATTTCATATCCTGTGTAGACATTCGGGATACGTATAAAGATACGTATGTAATAAATGATGTGTTTTTTTTTGTTTTCTTTTTCTTTAACAACACACTCCATCTAGGTTTGGGTTAGAAATGATTTGTCAGACAAATACAGATAATCACACACACTTACACACATCCTCCAGTGGTGTTCTTGGCTGACCATCAACATTTCCAAGAAATTTGAATTGCAAAATGTGTGTGCTGGTGTGTCGGTGTGTGTTCTTTCAGCAGAACACACTCACAGTTCAGAATGAACACCTTCTCCTTTATATCGCTTCACAAACGTCAGCGAATATCACACACTGATATCAACTCGCACCATATTACAGGTTTCAGTCTGATCTGAGACCAGTCCTGTCTTTTAATACAAATATCTACAGAACTATTTTGGACACAGAGAGCTGATCCTGGATCAGTAGATAATGGCTTCCATGTAAAGTTCTTTATATCAGCCTTTTTCTAAAATGAGGAAATACATGACAGATTGAACTTCTCTTTTTGCATGAGACTTCCTTTTTGTGTTTTTAGTGTTGTTTAAGCAAGTCGTGCTGTTGTACTGAATATTGCTACGGCTGTGCCTAAGCCATAGGCACGAGACTGCAGGAGCCGTGCTGATATTGAGAACAACAGCACGAATGTAACAATATGTGTCTGCAATTTCAGACACAATATGGCCAAATATTTTGTTTATTTTTGCTCTGTCAAAATAAATAACTCGTAAAGAAGCCACAGCTGGATAGAGTGTTGAGTGACAGCCTGTAGTAAGTGTAGGAACCGTTTCAGTGTAATGAACTATTGCTAGTATTGGAATTTTACGTAGCAAACACATACAGGCGGAGAGATACACACAGTAAAGTGTACCAGTGCTGTTAGAGTAAATATCAGCAATCTCGGAAAGCCGCTTGTCCAATCAAATTAATGGACCATAACTAACCTTTTTCACAAAATAAGCTTTTCGTAAAGATTTTGTGAACGATATTGATGGCACGCTAATTGCACAAACGATATGTTTTCCTGTGTGAATCTATAACTAGTTATTAAGCTAAATTAACTTTAATACTAACCAATAAACCAGCGTTCAGTGTCGTTAAGAGCTGAAATAAACATTAGTTTAGGAGCTAAAATATAGAGCTGTTACACAAAACACCCCAAATAGGACAAACCAGTGGATTTTTAACATTTTGTGTTTGTGTTTTATGTCAATTTCTTGTGCTTTTATTAATTAGAAATTAAATACAGAAATAAAAACATAAATGAAGCCTTGAGACACACTGTATAAAGACACACATTATAGACAAACTTAATTCATTTTTTAAAAATTTTAATTATGTCCCAGGAAATGTTACATTCTCATTTATTATTTGCCAAAACGAGAATTTAAAATGTTTAGATTTTACTTAGAAATTAAAGAATGAGAGGGAGAAACTCTGTGCAGTGACCATGTAAGACTTGAAAAGAAAATTTATATTAATTTTCCTATAAACATTCAGAAGTTAGTTAATGTGTAATGTTTAGGACATGACGGAAAGAGACGGTCTATTATTTCTATAAACACACCACTAATTTCGTGTGTGTGTGTGTTTATCAAAGATGGGAGTTAATGGAAACGCACCCACACATTAAAAGCATGAGCTGGAGTTTAAGACCAAATATAGTCAGGATTTGCCAAGAGAACAGGATGGAATGTTTCCTCAGGGGAAAAAGACAGAGATGAGCTTTTAGTGCTCGTCTTTTAAAGCTACATTTTATAAACACAATGAAATCTGGACCATTTATTAGTATAATAACACCACAGACAAAAAAAAAAGAATGAATTAAGAAAAAAAAATGTTTTCGTAATCACCCCGTCACAATATCAACTTGATAAATAGATAAAAATATATCACTTTTATTTTGCTAATCAACTCAACATACAAATACAATAGTTAATAAAAACAGAGTTAGAGAAATTAATAATTTAATAATTTAAATGTTTAAAATGACATTTTAACATATTCTCATCATTTTATTGGTCAAAAAAAGTTATATTTTGGTGTAATGTATTTATAAAAAGAAGTGATGAATATTCTGAATGTTTTTATTATGTTTAAGTGTAATTATGTGTACTTATAGGATACAAATATATTTTGCTGACTAACAGAAAGCCACAATCCCATTTTGCATATTTGCATATTTCCTAAGTGGTACGTTTGCATATTTGCGTATATAAATGTGGTGTCCTGTTAGAGAGAGGTAAGGGGTTTTTTTTGGGTGAGAGAGAAGCGAGGGAGCAGAGAGAGGTGTAAACAGAGAGAGGGATGATGGAGGAGAAGAGAAACAACATGCCAGTGCTTCATACTGATCCAAAAATAGTGGATAATAACAGTGCCACATTACAATAACAGATTGTTTTAGAGAAGGTCACGGCCACAGCAGTAACATTTCTCCACCTGTGACGCTCCTGTTATGATACAGAGTGTTATGATACAGAGTGTTATGATACAGAGTGTTATGATACAGAGTGTGATTAAACACAGTTTATAATGTGGTTTTTAGTTTTACACATTTAGCAGTCATTTAGTATGAGTGTAAAGTGAATGAAGGTGAAGCTTCGCTACTTCTCAGTGTAATGCACAAAGCAACAAAGCATTTAAATTGTCCTTTCAATAATATTAATATAACTTTTTAATAATAATAAGTTATGATTAAATAATTGTAATGAAATTAAATTGGCCGGGTTTGGACTCATACTCATAGCTGTGTGTAATGTAGCAGCACTGCCCAGTCACCTGACCTTAAACCCCTCAAACCTGATTGGCTGAAACAAATCAAGTGTAAGACATGTCCAATCAGCTTCACAAACCTGTGTGTGTGTGTATGCATGCCATGTACATGTGCGTGCGTGTGTGTGTTTAAGCTATAATTATAATGAGTGAGGTTTAGTGAGGTGTGTTGTGTTTCTCTGAATAAACCTGCAGATAGAGTTTTAATGTGTCACTTGTGTGAGTGTTTAAATCAATAACAGCTGCTTTTGTGCTTCTTTAGTCTCTTAATATGTTTCATTTGTGTTTCTGTATGTACTGTTGAGTCCAAACACCGAGTCCAAACAGGGTCTGAACACACAGTACAAACCCAGAGTCTGAATGCAGGGTCTTAACACACAGTACAAACCCAGAGTCTGAATGCAGGGTCTTAACACACAGTACAAACCCAGAGTCTGAATGCAGGGTCTTAACACACAGTACAAACCCAGAGTCTGAATGCAGGGTCTTAACACACAGTACAAACCCAGAGTCTGAATGCAGGGTC